AGTGTGCACAAGCAATGGGGTTTGCTGGAGAGCCAGCTGGACTGTGAGTGGGTGGAGTCAGGGATGGCCCCTTGTGTGGGCTTGTGCAGCAGGAAGGATGGAGTTGGCACCCTTCAAGAGGGGAAGGGGATGCAGCAGTGAGTGAGCACTTGTATTGGGCAAGTGAAGTTGAGTTATTCATTTGACACCCAGGTGATGTTGTCCAGTAAACAGTTGGGTACATGAGTGGATTTCGGGAAAAGGCCCACCTGGAAATAGAAATTCAAGCATTAGCAGAGAGGGAGTTGTTTAAAGCCATCAGACTGCATGAGTTGCTCAAGTGAATTTTGACAAAAGAGACTAGGTTGTCTTAAGACACAAATCTTGTGTGTGTGTGAGCAATTTTTTTAAAAAAATTATTTGAAAGGCAGAGTTAGAGATGTATTCCCATCTGCTGGTTCACTCTCCAAATATCTGCAATGACTGGAGCTGAGCTGTGCCCAGACCAGGAGCCAGGAGCTTTAATCAGGTCTCACACGTGAGTGGCAGGGCCCTAGTACTTGGGCTATCCTCTGCTGCTTTCCCAGGCACATTAGCAGGAAGCTGGATTGGAAGTGGAGCAGCTGACATTTGAACCAGCACCCATATGGGATGCTGACATTGTAGGCAGCTGTTTAACCCACTGTGCTGCCATGCTGGCCCTTGTGTCAGCAATTTTTAAAAGAAAAATTCTTGAGAACATTGAAACACAAGGTTTAGAAGGTGAAATGATGAGTAGTTTGTTGTTGTTTAAGTGATAAAAAGAATTTGTGTTAAAGGCTCCTGGGAAGTTTCAAGTCTGGGAAGGGAGGGGGAGGGAGCAGCAGGGGAGCTGAAAGGGGGGAGGTGGAAGAACATGCACGGGGTTGACCAAGGGAACTGGCTAGGTGCATGAGACCCCAGAACTGGCCCGCCACCTCACAAAGAGATGGGCTGCTGAGCCATTTTGTGGAGTGATCTGACACAACCACAGTTGAAGCAGGGTTGGGAAGAATGGGAAAGGGACTTGGACTAGAATCCAGTAAGGCCCTCAGCCTTGTGTAGATGCCTCCGAGTGCACCTCATTTCTGCCTGCACTTTGTGCAGCAGCCAGAAGGAACTGCTCGTGATCCCTAAACGCAGCCACGGCCTGCCCTTGCCTGTGCCTTTCACGGATGCTCTGCTCCAGCCACCTCAGCCAGCTGCAGCCTCTTCTCTTAGACCCGCAGCCAATGTAGCAACATGCTGTGGCAGGTCAGAGCCCAAGTGTTCCATGCACGTTTTCTCCAAATCTGCGATTGCAGTGATGTCAGGAACAACTAATCCCTCTCACCACCCACGTGCCCTTTAGGATGGCTCCTGTCGAGGACTGAGGCAGTGGCTCAGGGGAAGCTTTACTGCAAAGGGAAGGGAGAAAGAGCTCATCACAGTGTGTTTTCGGGGCAAAATCCTAGGTTTTTATGATTTTCTTCTCAAGATTTAAAATTTTTTTCATTTCTTTCTTTAATTTAAGAGGCTAAGAGAGATTTTTCATCTGTTGGTTCACTCCCCAAATGCCTGTAGTAGCCTTAGCTGGGCCAGGCCAAAGCCAGGAGCCAGGAACTCAAACCAGGCCCACATGTAGGTGGCAGAAATTCAAAATCCCACCTGAGCCATCACCTGCTGCTTCCACTAGCAGGAAGTGGAGCTGCAGCATGAATCCAGGCACCTAATGTGGAGTGGGCATCCCAAATAGTGACTCAACTGCTATGCCAAGAGGCCGCCCCTTCTCAAGCTTTGAATTGTATTAAAATACAAATGAGATTAGCCATGTTAACAAGTTTTACGTAAACAGTTCATTAGTGTTGAGTACATTCACGTTATGATACAGCAGGTCTCTAGAACTTTTTCACCTTGCAGAGCGAGAACCCTGCACCTGTTCAGCAACTCCCTATCCCCACCTTCCCTCAGCCCCTGGCAGCCACCCTTCTACTCCCTGTCCATGTGCATTTGATTGTCCTGGCTACCTCACAGAAGTGAAGTCACTCAGTTTGTCTTTTTATGACCAGCTTGTTTCACTTAACATAGTGTTCTCAAAATTCAGCCACATTGTAGCATGTGTTGAAATTTCCTTCTTAAAAATGTGTGTTTGTTTATATTTACTTGAAAGGCAGAGACACACCCACCTACATGCACACAGGCAGGCAGACAGCAAATACCTGCAGCAGCTGAGGCTGGGCCATATTGAAGCCAGGAGCCTGGAACTCAATCTGGCTCTCCCAGGTAGGCGTCACAGAGACCAAAGTACTTGAGCCATCTCTTGCTGCCTCCTAGGGTCTGCATTGGCAGGAATCTGGAATTGGAAGCACACACCAGGAATCAAATCCATGTGGTACTCTGTGGGAATGGGGGCATCCCAGGAGGTTTAACTGCGCTGCAAATGCTTACCCTCCTTCTTCTTCGAGGCTGAATAATACCCCACTGTACCACAGTTTGTTATCCATAGATGGACCCCCGGGTGGTTTTAAAGCATGAATGGGCAAATATCTCTTCAAGTCTTTGTTTTCACTTATTTTGGATATATATCTAGAAGTAAAGTTGCTGGATCGTATAATAATTCTGTGTTTAAGGTTTTAAGAAACTGCCATGCTGTTTTCCCTTTTATGGCCAAGGAAGTTAAGTGAGATGTATGATAGAAACAGAGAACAGAAAGTTGCAGCAGGTCTTTGTTTCGTCAAGTTTTTGTCAGTTAACAGCTGTGGAGTTTGGACAAATTACCTTTTTTATCCTCAGTTTAGTCATCTGGAAAATGAAAACAGTAACTCCCTGTTTACCTCCTGTACTCATTCATTCACTGAACAGATCGGGGGAGATACTATTCTAGACAGATAGGTGTGGGTCCCAGTCCCACAGAGTTCATGGTCTCATGGATTCTAGTGATTGGTGCAGAAAGTGACTGAGAGAGCCCTGATTGTATAAACTGTGAAGCACCGTGAAAGTAGGGTTATTCTTGCCCCAGGGAAGTTTTGCTCCTGGGAGGATCGGGGTCTCTTTCTCATTGGAATGAGACAGCAATAGAAAATGAAAAGGGCTGGCACTGTGGGATAGTGGGTAAAGCTGCCACCTGCAGTGCCGGTATCCCATATGGGCGCCAGTTCTAGTTCCTGCTGCTCTTCTGATCCAGCTCTCTGCTGTGGCCTGGGACAGCAGCAGAAAATGGCCCAGGTGCTTGGGCCCCTGCACCACTTCGGATATCCAGAAGCTCCTGGCTCCCAGCTTCAGGTCAGCTCAGCTGCTGCCATTGAGGCTATTTGGGGAGTGAACCAGTGGATAGAAGACCTCTCTCTCTCTTTCTCTGCATTTCAATTAAATAAATAAATATTTTAAAAAAGAAAAGATAAAAAGGAAATGCCAAGAGGTGCTAGGTGTCTGTCAGAGAAATTAAGGGTAGGCATGCTCATTGCACCCTCAGAGGGTTCTAAATGTTTGTTGAGTGAAGGAGTGATGTTAGGATGTGGAGAGTCAACATAAGCAGATGTGAGTTTCTATCTTGTCAAATGTTCTGAAATGTTAAACATATTTTAAGCAAAAAAAGGAGTTGTACCTAGCATTCATGGGAATGTAGAGTGGAGGCATACAAAAACCCTTCACTCAGAATTCAAAATTTAATCTTTAGAGCGTGCTACAGTAAGAACTATGTACCCAGACTTCCAAATTTAATGCCATTGCAAAGTGGTTGGTACACTATAAGGCATCTAATCTTTCTGATTGTGGGGAAAGTCCTAAATTTAAAGACCAACGTGATTTATTGAATTATCTTGGGGAATAAAAAGCTAGCTATTCATGATGCCAACAAAATACTTGAGTCAGCCAACTCTACAAGGAGAAAAGGTTTCTTCAGCTCAGTGTGGGAAGGTGGAGTCCGAGGCCAGGGGGCCGCATTGGATTGGCCTTCAGTGAGCTTGCTGGATGCGGTGGGCCAGGAAGCAGAGACGCAGAGAAAGACTGGGTCCACCTCGGCCTTTTTGGGCCACCCACCTTCCTGGGCGTGTCCTCAGTGACCTGAGGACCCCTGCTAAGCCCATCTCCTGAACCTCGTAATTGCTTTCACCCTTTTTAGTGCCATTAACTTATGACTTTGGGATTTAAAATCCTCCATGAGTTCAGGAGCCAAATCATATCAGACTACAGGAAAAATGAAAGTCTTCCTCAAATTATATTTTTACTTTGTCGCTCCCCCTCTTCGTGGAGGAATGACACAGGACCCTGCGCTGTTCTTTCGTCTGCTCGGCCCTCCCCGGGTTTGCTGCTGGTTCTTCCCGGGTTGGCTACTATCCCTTCCACCTCCGTGGAAGGGCAGTTCCCCCTGGCCGCATTCCCCACTTCCGCAGGGGAGCGGCACACCGCCGACCGGCTTTCTCGGGGGCTGCACGGGTTCCCTTAGATGTTCCCCATAGATGTTCCCCATAGATGTTCCTCGTAGATGTTCCTGGTGAATGCCGTCTCTCTCCTCCTTTATAGTCCTCCTCCGCCAATCCTAACTCGGCTGCCCACATGCCGAGTACGCTGCTCTCCTCTAATCAGGAGTAGGTCCTACAGTTTATTGGTTGAACTGGAGGCAGCTGCGTAGAAGCTGTTTTCTCCTCTCCCAGCGCCATATTGTGGGAGAGCAGATGCATAGAATAAGTCTTAATTCCAGTAACTCAGTCTAGTCCGGGTTGCTCCCCACATACTTGAAGTTTGCAAAAATGAAAGCTTTATTTTTTCCCCAAAATGTGGCAATCAGGAGTCTATACTCTCTAGAATTCTACAATTCTACACCCCTGGGCCAATTTCAGACTGATAGGAATACTGCTAATAGCTTCAGAACTTCTAAAGGCCACTTTACCCTCATGCTCATCTGCACGACAACCCCCCTCTCCCCACCATGTTCGCAGGAATTAGCACCCTGTCTGTGTTGGGGGTGGGGGCGGCTGCAGCTCCTTCCTGAGCGGACAGCTCTGTCCCTTCCTTCTCTTCCACAGGCAAACATGCTGAAGACATATTTGGTGAGTTGTTTAATGAGGCCAACAACTTCTACATCAGAGCAAATTCTCTTCAAGACAGAATTGATCGCCTTGCTGTCAAAGTTACCCAGCTGGATTCCACAGTGGAAGAGGGTAGGTAATTGCATGAAAGCAGTAAGCTAGAAGTGTTGTTGCCAAGACTGTAGTAATTAATCGCAGTGTAATTACTGCCTTTTCCTCGAGGTGGTATGCTGGTATTTTATCTTGTCTTTTCCTACAAGAGTGAGGGGGAAAAATCCCACAAGATTGGATTAATTAGTGATGAAAGATTTAGATCTTGGCTACCTCATATACCATATTCTTGTTTAAAGAAAATTATAAATATGCTCTTGGTTTTAAAGGCTTCTTTGAATTCATTCAGTATTAGAAGCCTTAATTTTAGGTTACTGGCACTTATTTTAAAAATAGTTTCTTAGCTAAAAATCACAGAATTATTCCAGCATATGGTCCGACTAACAGTGGGTTGTATCTAAGAGGAGGGTACTTCCAAAAAGTTTATTTTGGTGCAAGTAAAACTGTTGAAACCCCTGCATAGTTTTTTATAGTGTGCATTTTCTTTGGACATTTGGAAGACCCATCGTAGACTAGAAGAGGGAAGGCTTCAACGTGATCCTCTTGTTGGGGTTGATGCTTCTAGATAATCTTGGTGATTCAGCTTATTTAAAAATTGTGTTAATCTTCTCAGAAGTAGCATTTACAAAAGACCTCCAAGGGTCAAGTTCTAAAATAATGTTAATATTGACAAACACTGCTAACTTCATGGCAGTTTCAACAAAAATTCAACTATCAACAACTCCTTTTAAAAATTTCACTTCCATTATCTTTTGAAAGATTGAGATTAGACTGGAAAAACTTGCTTAAAAATGATGATATAGCACTTCTTAGTTACTTTGAGAAAAATAATTTGGTGGCAAATTATTTCTACCTTTACATGATGGTTGTTACAATATCTATTATTGCTTTAAAAGATCCTAGCATCTGAGTTTTGTTGTTTACATATATAATAGTTTTGGCGAAAGAGTAAGATTTATTTTAAAATTTTTTGTGGATTTCATAATTTTAAAAAGGTATTTTTATTCACATTCAGGTCTTATTTGAAGGTAAAAATTAAGCTTATGAGTTAGAAAATTAACAAAAATATAAAATGTTGAAATTTTCATGTCTTTTATAAACATTCATTTTCATTTTCCCACTTAAAAACATTTAGCTAAATACATGTTCTTTAATTTTTAAATTTTACTTTTTATTTTAAAAAAACTTTGAATAGCTATTGTTCTGTTCATAAAGGGATTCTTAGCCTTTTAAATCAATTATTTACTTTCAAAAATGGTGTCACAATAATTTTTAATATTTATTCATCTTCCTTTAGTTTTTTTCTTTGTGTGTGTGTGTGTGTGTGTGTGTTGCCTCTTGCAATTGGAATGCTTACAATAAACCCTACCATGGAAAAGATTAATCTGTAGGTTACATTTTATGAAATTTCATAGTACATGTCATGTCTTTAAAAATCCCTTTGCAATCAAGATTTTACATTATTGTTATCCTTGGAAGGGATATTAGAGTAGAAACAACCCTCGACTGAAAGTTTGGAAACCCATGATCTGTTTAGGACTAGCTGTTGCTTTTTTGCTGGAAGATCTTGGTAATGTCACTCTGTACTCCTGAACCTCAGTTTCTGTGGCTCGAGTGTGTGGTGAGTGTGTCAGTGTCAGAATGGCGAATACATGAAATGCAGAGTGCCACACATACAAGTCTAGGCAGTGCTGATTCCCACTGCTGGTGTAGTTTTGTATCGTAGCTCAAGCTACTTAATTTCTAGGACTGTACTACTAGAAGCTCAGGGGAAAATGGTAAGTGTCAGAAGAACAACGTGTTATTTATTTTTGTATGATTTTGGGGGAAATATTTCCCGCATGTATTATATTTCAATGGGAATTAACTGTTTGGTGCTTTCCTTATGATCCGCAGATCTATGGATTTACATGGCTGTTAAACCCAAAACTATATTCCTGTGTAGCTTCTGTGATGTGCTGTTTAAATAAAGAATGGGGCTTTCATATCAGATTCAGTGAAATAAGGAGATTGCTGTAAAGGAATTAAAGCTCTGATTTGACCTCATTCTGTAGAGATAACTGTTATCTAAAAGAGGGAGGAATGGCCAGCCGTGCTGTTTAAACAGGGTTTTAAATGAACAGTGAAAAATTATTGTTTGATAATTCTAGAAGATATTTAGGATTGTTGGTCAAGCAGTAGTTATTTTTGAACAGTTAAAAATACTTGTGTGTGACTCACCTTGGACAACTTTTCTGTAAACAGTGTCACTACAGGATATCAACATGAAGAAAGCTTTCAAAAGTTCCACAGTCCAAGACCAGCAGGTGGTCTCCAAGAACAGCATTCCCAACCCTGTCGCTGACATTTACAACCAGAGCGACAAGCCACCACCCCTGAATATCCTGACACCGTACAGGTATGGCTGCTGCCGGTGCTGGACAGAGGCAGGAGGCTGATGGTGCCTCCTGGAGAAAGATCCTGAGCGGCTCATTGGGTTACATTGAAGAATGTTTTTCAAACTTTGAATATTGTGAGTTGCAGTATTACGCCCAGTGAAATGAGGCACTGGCACAGGATTATCGAAGTTGTGGTGTTTCAGACTGTGGATAGGCCTGTCCCGAGCAGCGTGACACGGTTTTAGCTCCCAGGCACAGATGCCTCCCACAGGAGTGGGCCTGTGACTGAACAGCGCTGCGTGTGGTGATTGTTCCTGCTCCTGTTCAGCTCCCTGTACCAGGAGCCACGTCATTCATGCATCATGCCGCCGACTGCCTGAGTCAGCATTTCAGCACTGCAGAGGCATTCGTTATTTAATTCAAAAAATGCGTTCTGCAGCCTTAGGGACTTGTAAGAATGATAATATAGTCACCATATTCGCTTCCTGTTATCATTAAAATGGTAGCACATCTTATCAGGACCAAACTTCCAAGAAAATCAATAGTACCAAATATTAATAAGAAGAGATTCGAGATGCTTTTTGGAAATACTCCTCCTGCCTCCTAACACAGTGACACTCTCTTCCCCACCTGCCTTCACTGGCACCCAGCCTCCCTTTCTCGTAGACTGTCCTGACAGCCCCTCCTGGCAGGGCTAGGCACAGACCTCAGAACGGTGTCAGAGACCCCCCTGGAAACCGACGGCAGAGGAGCAGGATGCCCACCTTTTTATGGAAGAAGCATCCAGGCAGCTTCAAAAAGTACATGGAAATGCACATTATTTTTAGCCCTGTTCTTCCTGTGATTTTTTTGAAAGCCCTCGTACCTCCCTGGAAGTTTTAGCAGACTCATTTGAAAAAACCAATGATATGTATGAATACTAGCATCCTACACCTAATGTTTAATTTTTGGCTTCGCTTGCATCTGGTCGGCGTTCTTCCAGGGTAGCTTTTCAGTTTCATGTAGCATCAGGAGCCTCAATCTATATTATAGCACAACATGAGGCTTCTTGTTCACGTTCCTTACCTGCTCTTACGAAGGAGTCTCACTAAAACTTGGTACTGACCAAAAAAACTAGAAAATCCAACAGACTACTTGCATTTGATTAATTAAGATCATGATTAAATATTTGTAGTGATTTAAAATCTTGAATTGCATAAAAATGACTTTAACATCAATCTTATGGAAAGTAAAGCACATCTTTGACTTCTTAATAACATATTGAAGAATAGCAATGCCAACTCAGGGCTACTTCTTATTAATATAACAACATTTGGGGATGTATAAGACATGTACATTTTTGCATTCTACTTAATTATCACAATAGTTTGTAAATATTAGAAATACAAAGTGAGAAATCATTTAGATAGACATAGAGTATCTGTTTCTAGATGCCCAAGTGAGTTCCTGCCTTCATTGAAATATGAACTCCATTTTTAAGAAAATGAATGTGCATTTATTCATCTTAAATTTTCAGCACATTCCTACCTTGGCCTTTTTTCTACACCTTTACCTTTATTCAAGCCCTTAGTATCTTGGGTAGATAAATTCTTTCTTATACCAGTGTCATTCAGATCCATGCCATGCAGGTGACTTAGCAGTTGGGAACCTAGGAAAAGCACAGAAAGCTTTCAGGAGGTGGAGGCACACGGGTCCATCATTGGTTTTCAGACACAGTGACTGAAATAGCCCCGTAGGAACAGAGGCTTTCCCAGCTGATGGGCAGATGCTTATCAGAAACTTGAAGGCCAGACCAGGTTTTCTTCTGAATGGTCAAGCTCTTGGCTATACTCATTTCACTGAGTTTGCTTCCCCTGTCAGCCTTAGGTGACTTACTGAAATACTGTGAGATGTGAATGTTTTGCTGCTACTCGGAAATAGGAAGTGGGCCACATGGTTTTCTAAGCAGTAGTAGAGTAGAGCATTTACTTTAGATCATTATTGTTTTGAGCATCATGTTCTATTTGTTGCATTATTACTGGTTTTATGATAGGTAATTGACACATTTAAAGACTTGAAATATTTTTTAGACCATAGTAACTGGAGCAGTACTTGTAAAGGAAATAGTTACAAGGGAAGCTTCTTTGAAAATACGCAATTCATTATTTTTTCCCCCAGTCACATTTATACCCATGAACATTTTACTGTTTTCTTAATTGAATTTATAAGTGTTGTGTAAACTTGACTGGGAAAAAAGAACAGATTACCTGTTAATTTTTATCTGATAGTTTTGAAACTCCAGAATAGAAATGAATGTATGTGCACTAAGAATCTGCCTGCCTCGTGGATAGTCCCCATCGGGAACTATTTCAGGAATGAAACAGCTCCTGAAATAATTAAGGTATTACAGTAAAAGTCGCTGTTGTTGATGAACCATATTGTGATTCTGCAGAGTGACTTTCTACTTAATTCTAAATTTGCAAGAGCACTTTAGCCTAATATTTCTAGGACAGGCTGCTGTTCTTGACTAGTTCCACATTTTATTGAATAAGGAGATTTACAGAATAATGAAAAGGATAGTTATAATGCCTGGTAGAGATGTTACAGTCTCATCAATTGAAATGTGATTAATATTAACCTCCATAAGAAAGTAACAGTCTTCTTCCTCCACACCCCCCGCCTGGACCTATAATATGTGATTCACAGAGATGATAAGAAAGATGGGCTGAAGTTCTATACTGATCCATCCTATTTCTTTGACCTCTGGAAAGAAAAAATGCTACAGGACACGGAAGACAAAAGGAAAGAGAAAAGGCGTCAGAAGGTAAATCATTCCTGTGTGGGCAATGTGTGTATGAGTGTGACTGGGATTCTCGTTTAGAAATAAAGTCAAGTGGTCGAGGTGTTGGATTTAGTGCCAGGGTTTCTCAGAGGCTGCATTCTCCACAGGAAGATCTTGATAATTCAGTCTAACACAGTAAGACTGTTTTTCTAGAAGTACGATCACATTTGTCCCCCAGCACTTGCTTAGCTTTAAACAAAAGTAGCAGCTAAAATTTCCATTTTGTTCCGACCGTGTTCCATAACTTTTCTCCTGCTCTGTCAAGTTTTCATATAGCTTCCACATTCTGTATCAGAGCAAATGGTGCGCTTTTTTTTTTTTAATCTTTTTAACATTCTTAATCGGTGGGTTTCCACCCAGATCTAATTCAGACCTTGATGAGATGTTCATACTGGACTGAGTAGCAGGTGTGGCCATCTGTTCAAGGGACAGTGTTTCCTGGAAATAAGCCTCCCTTTGGGGCAGCGGCAGGCCAGAGACCCACCGGTCTGCAGGCTGAGAAGCTCGGCGTGACAGCCAGCAGACCTGCGAGAAGGAGTCCACTCTGCTTTAGCTAAGGGACTTCTGGTTTGAACATTGTCATTTTAGGGCTCAGCTTTTTGCTTCTGAGAAGAGTAATTCTCAAAGGGCAAGCATTTGCTAAAATATTGGCATGTTTACTATGTTTAAAAGTGATACTCAGCTTGTTTAACAAGTGCTGGGATGCTTTACTTAGGAGAAAGGCTTAGGATTTTTGTGGGCTGCTGGCCTTAAGATTCGGAGGCATTTGGGTGTTTGGGGGCAATGCAAGCTGCATCTCGGGATGGAGAACTTGAGGTTTGAGAACAGGTGTAAGAAGGGCACGTGAGCTGTTCCCACTGGGTTCCAACACTTGGTGGTGCTTCATACTTTCTTCATGGCCTGGGGAGATCTCACTGGGAAATCGCCAAAGAATTGCTGAGTTGCACTGCATATTCAAGTGTTATTCTAAAGATACTAACCTCTTGAATGGATAAGAAGCAAAGGTTTAAAGGCTTGTCTGTCTTAATTCCCACACTTTTTCAAAGTCACAAGTTGGAACGCCAGCAGTTTACATTCCATTCCTCAGACTCCCTTTCATTTTTTTTTATCTATTTATTTATTTATTTATTTATTTTTTATTTTTTGACAGGCAGAGTGGACAGTGAGAGAGAGAGACAGAAAGGTCTTCCTTTTTTTCCGTTGGTTCACCCTCCAATGGCCGCCGCGGCTGGCACGCTGCGGTCGGCGCACCGTGCTGATCCGATGGCAGGAGCCAGGTGCTTATCCTGGTCTCCCATGGGGTGCAGGGCCCAAGCACTTGGGCCATCCTCCACTGCATTCCTGGGCCACAGCAGAGAGCTGGCCTGGAAGAGGGGCAACTGGGACAGAATCTGGTGCCCCGACTGGGACTAGAACCCGGTGTGCCGGTGCCGCAAGGTGGAGGATTAGCCTATTGAGCCGCGGTGCCGGCCCAGACTCCCTTTCAAAAGGCCTTTAGGTTTCCCCTGTGAATGATACTGTTGGTAAAAATGGCTCTCTTCTTGGCCACTCTCCTTGAGTGGAAAACAATCTTTTTTGTTTAAAAGATTTATTCATTTATTTGAAAGGCAGACTCACAGAGACAGAAGCAGAGAGAGTGAGTGAGAGAGAGGTCCTCCATCTGCTGGTTCACTCCCCAAATGGCTGCAATGGCCAGAGCTGAGCCGATCCAAAGCCAGGAGCCAGGAACTTCTTCTGGGTCCCCCACACGGGTGCTTGGGCCGAGGACTTGGGCCATCTTCTGCTTTCCCAGACCATAGCAGACAGCTGGATCAGAAGTGGAGCAGCAGGGATTGGAACTGGCACCCATATGGGATGGCGGCACTGCAGGCAGCAGCTTTACCCGCTGTGCCACCGTGCTGGCCCTGGGAAAACAATCTTAATCTATATGTGATTGTTGTGTCTTCAGAATCATCTGTCATTTCCTTGCTGTTTTTGTCTCATTTCACGTTCCCCAAATGCACTTGTATCATGATTGAATGCCTTCTAACTGCTGGATACACCAGGAGTATCTCCCTCATGGAGAGTACCATGTAGTGGGGAGCACAGGCCCTGAATAACTGTGCAGCCCCTTGGGACTCAGAAGAGGACTGGGGTTTGAAAGGTTAACTTACATCTGCTTCAGATAGGAGTAGAAAATGAGGCAGCAAGCCCTTCACCTCCCAGGATTTCACAAAGCCAAAGTTATGTTCAATTTGCAGTGGACAGATCTGAAAGAAAAATTAGGTTAGAAAATTTGGGAACAAGAAGGTCATTGGTTTTTAACATTTTACAAAAGTTTATTTCCGTTTGATGCTTTAAAAACGTGGAAAAATAATGACGCTACTAAGTAGGAAGTGTTAAGTGTACAGTTACACCATTGCTGACTGTTGGGAAGTGCAAGTACAGAGAGTACGGGTGAGGTGACCGGGCAGGAGGCCTCTTGGAAGAGGGGTCACACACACGGAGATGAGAGCATGCCTAGGGCGAGGCAGCACAGCAGAGACAGGCTGCGTGCATCCAGGGCAGATGAGACAGGCGGCTTCATCAGCGAGCGCCCTTCCGAGTGGGAATAAGAGCATCCTAGCCCAGGAAACAGTGTGGCATCTTCCAGGGATTTTAATGTAGCCCACTGTGGCTGGAGTATAGACTCATTACTGTGAATATTTTGTCATGGTTGTGTGTGTTTGTGTGTCTTTTGTGCATGTTGGTAGGTAGATTTGGAGACTAAACCATTGTAAAGAGAGTTGTAGAGTTCATAATACTTATTCCCTAAATAAGTCAACACCCATCACTTGAAAAGTAAGAGTCACAGTTACTGATTTCAGGGAAAGCATTTGGTAGTGGTTAAGACAACATTTGGGACACCCACATCTCCTATTGGAGTGCCCGGCTTTGAGTCTTGGCTCTACTCCTTATTTTAGCTTCCTGCTAATGTATACACTTGGAGGCAGCAGTTATAGCTCAAGAAGTTTTATCCCTGCAACCCATGTGGGAGACCCAGATTGGTTCCCCCACCCCTCTCTCTTTTGATTTATTTATTTATTTATTTATTTGAAAGTCAGAGTTACACAGAGAGATAGGGAGAGGCAGAGAGAGAAAGAGAGAGGTCTTCCATCCACTGGTTCACTCCCCCATTGGCTGCAACAGCCAGAGCTGCACCAATCCAAAGCTAGGAGCCAGGAGCTTTCTCCAGGTCTTCCCATGCAGGTGCAGGGGCCCAAGGACTTGGGCCATCTTCCACTGCTTTCCTGGGTCATAGCAGAGAGCTGGATCAGTAGTGCAGCAGCTGGAACTTGAACCAGCACCCATATGGGACGCCAGCACTGCAGGCAGCAGCTTTACCTGCTATGCCACAGCGCCGGACTGGGTTCCCTCTCTTGGCTGCAGCCTGTGCCAGTCCCAGCTGTGAGCATTTGGGGAAGTGAACCAACAACATAGGGGAGGTCCCCCCATCTGTGTGTCTCTGCTTTTCAAATAAATAAATTTTTAATTGAAAAAATAAAAGTACTTAAAGTAATTTTTAATTACTTTAATAAAGTGGTTCTTGATCAGGGTGCATACTAGAATCACATTAAAATCTCCTCCATTCCCTTTATTCTCTTTGTTGTTAAAAATATACAGATGACATTTACTGGTTTTAAAATACTCAGATAGCCCTGAACGGAAGAGAGGTGCTCCCCTGCCTGGGAGGAAGTACCCACTGTGAACAGAATGTGCATCTTTTCAGACCTTTTAAGCCTTTGTAAATATATGCCTGTACATCTACAAAGTAGTTTATATACATAAGATTGTGTTACACATGAGTGTGCACACACACATAATTATGCATGTTCTTTTTAAGAGTTGTGCAGTATTCTGAAACATAAACTGCTTCCTAAATTATTTACCATTGCTGAATTAATGAATATAGGTTGACTGTAAATGGCTGCTGTTACAGCACTGCATTGGGCGTCCCTGTACTCATGGGCAGAGGTTTCTTCAGGGTAAATTTCAAGAAGTTGAGTTGCTATCAACAAAGAGCAAGTTTTAAATTTCCAGATACCATCATTTTGCACCCCACCTTAAAGAAATGAACGACTAGTTTATATTCTTTCTTAAACAACTACTTATTTATATTTGAAAGGCAGAGACAGACAGAGCCATCCAGTCAGACAGACAGTTCCTATCTGCTGGTTCACTTCCCAGATACCCGTAACAGTCAGGGCTGGGTCAGGCCTAAGCTGGGAGCTGGGAGCCCAGTCCTGATTTCTTACATAGGTGCTGAGGAACCCAGCTTCTTTAGACATCCCTGCTGCCTCCCAGGGTGCACAGTAGCAGGAAACTGGAATTAGAAAGGGAGCAGGGACTTGAACTCAGGTACTCTGATAAGGGATGGAGACATCCAAGTTGAGTCTTATCCACTGTGCCAGTGCCCGCACTTAACGTACACTCTCAGCAGGCCTTCATGGTCCTGGATGTTTTTGTTTTCAGTGGAGCTCCCCTCCTCCCCATCTAATCTGCATATATACATATATGTGTGTATGTATATGTAAAAAGCAAAAGCACTTATCTTAATATAAATGGTTACATATTATAATATAAATGTATTTTAAGATATAAGTGCATTTGTATTTTAGCAAATTTTACAATGATACATTCATGGGTGCCTCATAGGCCTGCCCTACTGGAGTTCAAACTCCAGAAGGGCAGAGAGAGCCTGCTTTGTTTGCCATTTGCATCATCACTGCCTGGCCTGTGTGTGGGACAGGAAGCACAGTAAACCTGAAGCCTGGCTGTGGAGTGGGTCATTGAACCGGCCTGTACTGAGAGTACGCTTTGCATAGAGCCTGTGCTGGGAGCCGTCAGCGGGAAGTGAGAGCATGCCGCTGTTGTCCTTGGAGATCATAGGGTCTCATGAGGGAAGCAGGGAGGACTTACGGACACAGAGAGTAACTGCGCTTCCTTTTGAAGGAGTACTTGTGTAGAACCTAAGGATTTGCTGAGTTCATTTTTGCTCGCAAAGTAGGGCCAGAGCCAGAATGACTCTGTGCAGCCAGGTAAGTGTGTATCTTGGGATGTTTCGTGTTAAGCTTCTTTCAGGATTTGCTTAAATATTTTTTAATAATCTTTCAGAGATTGGGAATAGAGTGATTTGAATGATACCTTTAGAAATACCGTTGTGTGTTAACAAGTCAGTCAGAACCGTGCAGGGGTGGGGAGTGATTTCTCTGGGTGGTGGTGTTGGGCTTCACCTGATACAGACCTCAGAAGTTTAGTAGATTTAAAGCAGGCAGCCAGCCTGTTGGAGTGAGAGTTCTGTACCAACAGTGGTGAGCAGCGCTCAGCTGTTGCACAGAGGCTATTTTGCTGGTTAAAACACCAAGAACCGCTCACGTCTTGGGGTCCACTGGGTGCGAGGAGTGTGATGCTGTAGAGAACTGCTGGAACGGGGGGGTAATTGCAGTGGGAGTGTCTCCCGGCTGCACATCAGGCTGTTTCCTGTGCATTGTGACTGCCTCTAACCACTGTTTTCCTCTCCCTTCTGTCTTGGCATGCTTGCTTTCTTTTCCTGGACGTCAGGAGCAAAAGCGTATAGATGGCACCACCCGTGAGGTGAAAAAGGTTAGAAAAGCCAGAAACAGGCGCCAGGAGTGGAATATGATGGCGTATGACAAAGAGCTTAGACCCGACAACAGGTTGTCTCAGAGCGTGTGCCACGGCGCATCTTCCGAGGGATCCCTGTCCCCAGACACTAGGTGTGTGCGTGTCATAGCTGCCTCCCCTGATGCTTTCAGTATAAATCAGAAATGCACCCCTAGCTTTGGGGTTTATGTGGCCATAGAAATGGCCTATGCGTCTCTAGAAATGATTCACCTATATTTTGATTTTGAAGTAATATTTTTAAGACTGTTATTGTGCATTGGTTGCTTTGTCTGATTTTTTTTAATCTCTCTGGCTTAAATTTACTGTTCAGTTAATCTAGATGTGTTTAGTATTGATTCTGAATTTGGAATAACTGTCAATGACTTAAATTTTATTTTAATAATCAATCCTTTCTCTTTAGCTTGGGGTTTTGAATTTCATTTGTTGTTTGGTATTTAAAAATGATTGGTAGATGGTGATTAACATGAAGAAGAAATCTCTTTCTTGTCTTTTTGTTAACCTTTTGAAAAAATGATGAACAGGAGATGTGTTTGCTACTGCAGTTAACTGATGTTAGGTATTCTTATTTCAAGACAAGAATCCCATTGGGGTTTACTTTAAAAAGTTGTTAGCAATTCTTGCAGGTGTGAATGATGTGGCCACCGAATTGCATTTTCCACAAAAAGGATTCATAACAGGATCACTGCCTGCATCATCAGGAACTGACTGGTGCAGCTTTTGGTTTGATTTTCTATTTCTGATTTTATGAAGTTCTAATAATCTGTTCTTACGGTCTTCTGTAGCATTAAAAATTTGAATTCTGAATTCTTAAGATATGTGATTCAAGAATGTTCCCCAAACAGCAGCAACCGGACTTTGTGTTACAGCTGTGTCCTCCTCTTGTGTGTTTTTATCTCAGTGTGTAGACCCTAACATATAGAAGGTGCTGCCTGACTATGTGCTGAAAGACTTACTTGTTTGGTGGTTACAGTGCCTTAAATATTTTTACTCCAGAAGGTTTGTTGTCATTGGTGGGGCATGTGGCAAGTTCTAAGTAATTTTTCTGTACAAGCTGTTTTCTATTAATTGTTAAGAGTCGCTGGAGCTGGAACTGACCCCTGGCCTCCAGTTTGAATTCCATGTTGTTTATTTCTATCTGAAGTGAGAAGGATGAGACAGACTGCTGTAGTTCTTTGGGTAGGACAGCTACACAAACTTCACAGCCCCCACAAAGCTAGCCAGCATTCTAATTTTTCCCAGATAATTTAGTTATGATTGTTTGTTTATGCAAAGCTATACTTTATTTTTATCCCATACATACGGTCTGTTTTACACAGATACAGATGGGAAAATTATGATGTTTTTTAATCAACCAGTTGAATAGTATTCAATCTAACATCTGTAATTAGATTGTTCCATGTTGGGGGTAAGTTGATGATTATCAGATTATTTGGTCTTCCGCCACTCTGTTGTTTAGATATATCTTCATCTCTCTTATTTTTCAAAAAGCAAATAGGATTGTAAGTTTTATTGCTTCAGAGTTTTCTTTTGTCTCATACCATTCTCTTGTCCTCTCATTATTTGTATGCAGTGTGTATTAATAGGGAGATTATAGTCTATCATAGTACTTGAAATGTGTCCCTTAAATTAATTTAGAAGTTTTTAAAAAATATTTTATTTATTTGAAAGGCAAAGTTACAGAGAGAGGGAGAGACAGAGAGACAGAGAGAGAGATCGTCCATCCTCTGGTTTACTCCCCAAATGGCTGCAACAGCTTTAATTGGGCCAATCTGAAGCCAGGAGCCTGGAAACTCTATCCAGGTCTGTCACATGGGTGGTGAGGGCCCAAGCACTTGGGCACCCTCTGTTGTCTTACTAGACACATTAACAGGGAGTTGAATCAGAAGCAGAGCAGCTGGGCTCGAACTGGTGCCCATATGGTGTCACAGGTGATGGCTCAACCCACTACACCACTATGCCAACCCCTTTAATTTTACCAACACATGCCACTTCTTTCTTTTTATAAAATAAGATGTGTTTATTATATCTGGAAGTTATAGAACACATTAAATAAAATATTATCCATAGTCTTACCATCCAGAGAAATCATTGCATCACCGTCTACATTTTAGTTACTACATAGTCTTTCTGTACATGTGTTTTCCTCTTTTATAAAATGGGAATTGTGCTATTAAATTTTTATTTCTTTTGACTTTTTATTTCTTTTTAAAAATGTATTTATTCATTTGAAAGGCAAAACAGAGAGAGAAAAGGAATATCATTTATCCTTAGGTTCACTTCCCAAATGTCTGCAACAGCCAGGACTGGGCCAAGCTGAAGCCAGGAGCCTGGAAGTCCACCTGGGTCTCCCAAGTGGGTGACAGGGACTCAAGTACTTTAGCCATCATCTGCTGCCTTCCTAGGCACTTTAGCAGGACACTAGATCAGAGGCACAGCAGCCAGGACTAGACTTGGCACTCTGATATGGAATGCTGGCATCCCAAGTGGTAGCTTAACTTGCTGCACCACAATGCTGGCCCCATAGTTCATGTTGAAAGTATTTAGAAACATATTTTTAATGGTTGTACATATTTTTTAAGATTTATTTATTTATTTATTTGAAAGTCAGTTACACAAAGAGAAGAGAGGCAGAGAGAGAGGTCTTCCATCTGATGATTCACTCCCCAGTTGGCTGCAACAGCCAGAGCTGCGCCGATCCAAAGCCAGGAGCCAGGAGCTTCCTCTGGGTCTCTCACATGGGTGCAGGGGCCCAAGGACTTGGGCCATCTTCTACTGCTTTCCCAGGTCACAGCAGAGAGCTAGATCAGAAGTGGAGCAGCCGAGTCTCGAACCAGCGCCCATATGGGATGCTGGTGCTTCAGATCAGGGTGTTAACCCACTGCACCACAGCACCAACCCCATACATATTTTTCATGATTGTATGTATCCTCTCATCTGTGTGCATTTAAGATACTGAGAATGGGGATTCTTATTGTGACTTAGAAGGTTAAACCACTGCCTGCAGTTCTGGCACCCCATTTGGGCACTGGTGTGTCCTGGCTGCTCCACTTCTTATCCAGCTCCCTGCTGGTGTGCCTGGGAGGGCAGAGGAGGAATGGCCCAAATCTGGACGTAGTTCCTGGCTCCTGGCTTTGGTCTGGCCCAGCCTTGGCCATTGTGGCCATTTGAGGAATGAACCAGCAGATGGAGGATCTCTCTCTGTGTCTCTCTGTCTCTCTCTTACTCTGCCTTTCAAATAAAATAAAGCCTTTAAAAAAAATATTGAGGGGAATTTAAGTATCAAACTTCATGGCACATCAATAAATCCCTCGTGTAAGTAATATACTCCAATCCTGTGATCTTCGATCTGTGCTGCTGTGCATGCCCCCCCCCGCCCCCTCCGCCCCCCCGATGGTTAGGAATGGGTTGGCTCTTAAGCATGAACTAGGGTTGAGGATGAGGAAGTGTTGCCCCCTGGGTCACCAGCCCTCTTTCTGTGTTACTCTTGCTTCTCCATGCCCAACTGTCCTTTTTTCTCATCGGACCCTGGGCCCTGTTACAGCTCTCAGACAGTCTCTGCCTGTCTACCTGAAAGACCCTAACAGATGTATTGTGGTCACCCATTGAATCCCCAGTAGATACAGTCAGTCCCCCTACATCCATGGCTTCTGCAGCCCTGAAGTCAGCCAACCAAGACGGGAACACGTAGTTAGGCTGTGATGGATGTGTCCATCCTAAACACGTACAGCCATTTTTCTTGCCGTTACTCCCAGAAAAACATTGTAACAGCAATTTGCATTGCATTAGGTGTCTTTCAAGTCATCTAGAGCTGATTTAAGATATGTGGGAGGGCATGTGTAGGGTCCGTGCAAATACTGTGCCATTTCATGGGAGGACTTCAGCACTTGTGGGTTCTGTCTCTCTGGGAGTCCCCCACAGGTGTTGAGGTGCAACCACACTTATTTCTGCCTGTTGTGGTCTTATCTGCACCCCTGAATTTCTTCTGCAACAGGCAATTCCTGGTCATCACGTAGCAGCAGGATCGCCAATCCGCTCCACGCTGGCCTGGTGCCTGTGCTGACTTCTGCCAGCAGTGCCCCTCCTCCCCACCTGGCTTCCTCACTCCTGGGCTGTCCACCCCAACCCCAGCCTCCCGATGGCCTGCCCTCTGCAAAGCTCTTCTGATTCTGCCTCTTCCTTTCCTTCCATGCTCATCCCGGCCACCCTGTTTTCTGGGCCCCCGGCCGCCCAGTGTCGTCAAGCTGCCTTGCAAGGGCAGCACTCTGCGCTGCACAAGGTGGCAGCTTCCTGCGCCTGCTCTGGGCAGACTCATTGCCCCTGGGGCGGGACGCCTCTGCTACACAGTTGCACACAGTCAAGTGCCTGTGACCAGTGGCGACCAAGTTTTAGGTATTTACATTTTAAGCATCTGCTAAATCTTAGTACAGGTCAGGTTCTTCCCTTGTTAAAAACGCTCCTGACTCACTCGCTAGCAGCCGGCACAGTTGGAAAGGCATAATGGCATGCACACGTACTGCCAAGCGCATCCTGCACTTGGGAAGCCTTCCTGAGTTAGTGGTTGTCACTGCTCTGTGGCCAGGGAGGGAAAGGGCGGGCGCAGCATCTTGTCCTGTAGCTCCGTCCCGGTGCCCCAGGCCAGCGGAGCTGCGGTCTGAAATCCAGACACGGAGACTCAGCTCTCTCTACCCCCCCCTCCACATCCCCAATGTGTGTTTGCCTGTTTCCTTCAGAGAGAGAAACACAAGCTGAATCCTCCCCGAAACCGGCAAGTGCACGTGAGGAAAGTCAGAACGAGAAGAGAAGAGTGGGAGAGAAGGAAAATGGGCATTGAGTTTATGAGTGACGCAAAGAGACTGGAGCAGGCAGGGAGCGCGGAGGAGGACAGAGTACCCGGAGGGTTTGTCCTTTTGCTTTCTTTGGGTTCCCAGCCTTGGCCAACCCCTGCTTCAGCTGTCCTGAGAGGGTGTGCAGGCCCTGTGTGTCCTGTAATCCGGTGGGTGTGCGTGACTGTCACTGTGTGCCACTAACACCTGCAGCTGCCACTCACGCAACTCCTTGTCTCCTCCCAGGGCTGCGGTGGGCGTCCAGCACCCAGTGCCCAGCACCTCTCTCAACTCCTCTCCACTCACTAACCAAGGTCTCCTTTCCTTCCAGAGGTCACACTCCGCTGAGCCCTCCTAGCAGATGAGGCCTTTCCATGCTGCACTGGCTTGCTGCTTTCTCCTTTGGTTCAGTGCATTTCTTCCTTTGATAATAAATGCAATTCACTTGATTGAGCTCTTTCTTTTTCTGTCCTTCCTGTTAATATTTATCCCGTCCACCTACCATTTTCTGTCTTCTAATTATATGCTGTCAGTTTCTTTGCCACAGAACGCCTGTCTTAGATGCTGTTTCTAAATGAAGTGGACTTTGCCTTGTAGCCTTCTTTCTTAGAGAAGTCTGCTGAGATCTTGTGTAAGCAGGGCCCTCTGTTGCCTGCCTGCCCGCCCGTCTGCTGACTTGTTCACTTCAAAGCTGCGAATCTGACTCCATGTAACACTGGGCTTGCTGCTAAAATAGTAATTACACCGCTGCTCAGAAGCTCTCACGGGGCCAGGCCTAGTTGGCAGTAAAGGAATAAGTGTTGGCTTTTATGCATTGGCAACGTTATGATTCAGATGTACTCTGCTGTCTGCAAGGGGGGTTTTTTCCTTGCTTAATTTACAAGTCTCCCACCCCTGTCTCTTGAATGCCAGGTCTCACGCATCGGATGTCACGGATTACTCTTACCCGGCCACTCCCAATCATTCTCTACACCCCCAGCCGGTGACCCCGTCCTACGCAGCTGGTGATGCAGCACCACATGGGCCCGCAACCCAGGCCCCCGAGCACGAGTACCGGCCCCCCTCAGCCTCGGCCAGGCACATGGCCCTCAACAGACCTCAGCAGCCGCCGCCCCCGCCGCCCCCACAGGCCCCAGAGGGGTCGCAGGCCTCGGCACCGATGGCTCCAGCAGATTTCGGGTGAATCAGTGCTCCTTATGCTCTGGTTATGCTCCCTCTGGCATTGGAGTCTTGCTGTAGGTGGTGCAGGGATTTTTAGCTTTGATGGTTTGGATGCCAGAATAAAGTCAAGAATGATTGGCTGTGGATTCTGTCAGGCAGAACAAAATCCTGTGTGGACTGAAGCAGGTACAGCATCGAGCAGCTCCCCCTTTCTTTTTTCATCACAGTGCAACCTCAGGGTGACGTCTGTGTGTGCAGAGGGTCGTGTGTCTGGGTGGGTCTCCGAGGCAAGGCCGTGAGGAAGGATGGGACCCTGATCTTTGGCCCTGTTCCACCCTCAAGTTTCTTTACATGTCTTGGGTGCCTCACAGACAGTTCTTAGCCCATGTGAGGTGAACATATTGTGCAGGCCCCTGCAGTCTGCTGTCTTGACCGCTTGGCACCCAGGTATCAGTACTGCCCCCAGCCCCTCCTGTTCCCACCTTTCAGGTGGAATTCAAACACCTGCTACAGGAGACTTTGATGTTCAAGTTCCTGGATGTGAGCACACACCTCTGTTTAATGGGCTGTTTTCGGCATTCTCTTTTGGCTTAACCGAAGTCTCAAGAGCAGTGCCCTCCAAATTGTGCCTAGGACGGTTGCATCTGTACCCCCACTGCCCCGAGTGTTCTTCAGCCTGGTGTGTTGTGGACCCTCTGCCCAGGGCAAGCCCCTGAGCCTTCCCGGGCTTTACTGCTCGACACACAGTCCTAGCTGCCTCCCATCTTTCGGCTCTCCTTAAATCAGGATTCCCAGGGGAGCATTCTGAGGCTTCTGCACTCAGGCAGAAAGGGTCTGGGGTCCAGTTGGTTTGGCAAACCCTTAGCTGGATAGGATTCAGCAGATTTCTTGGCACTGGGGCTCTGCAAAACATTGGTAGTCTGTAGGGCACATGGCCATGGGGGTTTCCGTGGGGCTGGGCTCGAGAGTGTGAAATGTTCCCAGTCTGCGTGGTCACAGAACCCTTGCAGGCCAGGTTTGGGAGCCACACTCCTCTGAGATGCCTGGGATACAGGGTGACTGGGGTTGCAGTTTGGCCATCTGTAGTCAACTGCTTCATTCTGGAATAAAGTAGAAGGTTTGGCATCCTGTTGCAGTGAACACTGTCGACCTCTGAAAACGACAGACCCACAGCATGGATGTGTGCCTCCCAGGGGGGATTTCAGACCCACTGACCCGCATGTGTCACGCCCGGGGCAGCCTGTCTGGGCGCAGTAGCATTGAGAGGAAGTGACCCTCCACTGTCACTCTGCTGACTCCGTGTCTCCTCTCTCTATCAGGATGCTCCCAGCGCAGATAATAGAATATTACAACCCGTCAGGACCACCTCCGCCGCCGCCTCCACCCATGATTCCTTCAGCACAAACTGCCTTTGTCAGCCCCCTCCAGATCCCCATGCAGCCCCCATTTCCTGCCTCAGCTGGCTCCACATACTCAGCTCCTCCTCATCCACCTGCCGCAGGGCTCCTGGTCACAGCGCCACCTCCCCCCGGCCCGCCCCCTCCCCCACCGGGCCCCCCTGGCCCTGGCTCCTCTCTGTCGTCTTCCCCGATGCACGGCCCCCCAGTGGCTGAGGCAAAGCGTCCAGAGCCTGCGCAGCCGCCCATCAGCGATGCGCGAAGCGACCTCCTTGCTGCTATTCGGATGGGTAAGTGCGACAGTCCCTTCCAGGAAGAGACTTCTCCAGGTCCCTCGTCCAACAGTGAGCGAGCACAGAGCTGCAGCCCAGGGCCTGGCGTTAATGATTCCCTTTGCAGCACAGCTGTGATGGTGCTGCCTCTGCCTTCGAATCTGGCCTGTGGCACACCGCCCCCTTCCCACCCCAAAGACTCCTGTGTCCTCTGTGAGTCTTGACCACCATTGGCACGCTTTGATTTTGTCAGGGAAAGAAGTCCCTGAGATGCGATACTTCCTGGGTGTGTGTCCAGAGCAAAGGACATTTGATGAAACGTAACTACTAGTGTCATGACCCATCCTTTGTTGGTTGTTGAATTAGGGGGAAATTTTTTCCATTTGTAGGTAGATTGGGTCTGTTGATAAAATCTGAAAAATATCTGTAGGCTAGGTATGCCACCTGGCCTCAAGTGATCCAGAGAGAACGTGTGTGTGCGTGTAAGAGGGACAGAGGAGGAGACCAGACGACACATAGGGTCAGATGTGACCAGTTGGGGGACCCAGGCACTGGGGATATGGAAATGTTTTTCTGTCTTATAGATAGTCCATAAATCTGAAATGACTGCAAAAGAGATAGCTTAAAAGTGAACATGTGTCTTCTTTTGTTACTAAGCAAGAGAGTAGATGATTTTATTATATCTATTTTCAATAGCAGTTGTTAAAACAGAGCTTTCTCAGTTACTCTTGCATGTTAGCTGGGAACTGTTAATGTACTGTGTCTCCATGTCTTTAGTCCCATGTTGTGGGAAGATAGACACACTCTTCCTGATGCCACTAGCCACATACCATGTGTAAAAGTTACAAGATCTCCATGTGACTGGTTGCCACCTCATAGACCAGTGTGGCTCTAGAATTTTTTAAGGTGTCCATGTGCACTGAAGTTATAACTCATTTTTATTATTTCAGCACATTACTTTGTCATAAAAACATTATGACTTGCACTGCACATTACTTTTTCTTTTCTTTCTTCTTTTTTTTTTTTTCTTTTGACAGGCAGAGTTAGACAGTGAGAGAGAGAGAGAGAGAGAGAAAGGTCTTCCTTTTTTTTCCATTGGTTCACCCCCCAAGTGGCCGCCATGGCCAGCATGTTGCGGCTGGTGCACTGCCGATCCAAAGCCAGGAGCCAGGTGCTTCTCCTGATCTCCCATGCGGGTGCAGGGCCCAAGGACCTGGGCCATCCTCCACTGCACTCCCAGGCCACAGCAGAGAGCTGGATTGGAAGAGGAGCAACCGGAACAGAATCCAGCAAACGGGACTAGAACCCGGGGTGCTAGCACCGCAGGCGGAGGATTAGAAAGTCACAGTTACACAGAAAGAGGAGAGGCAGAGAGAGAGAGGTCTTCCATCCACTGGTTCACTCCCCAGATGGCCGCAATGACTGGAGCTGCACCGATCCGAAGCCAGGAGCTAGGAGCTTCTTCTGGGTCTCCCACATGGGTGCAGGGGCCCAAGGACTTGGGCCATCTTCTACTGCTTTCCCAGGCTGTAGCAGAGAACTGGATCGGAAGTGAAGCAGCCAGGTCTCGAACTGGCACCCATATGGGGTGGCGGCACTGCAGGCAGCAGCTTTACCTGCTACGCCACAGCGCCGCCCCGCACTGCACATTTTTTGAGGGGAGCATTAAACTTCTTAATATTCCCTGAGCTTGCCGCCTCTTCAGTTTCCAGAACTTTCTCCGTAGCGCCGTTAGAAAAACACGGTCCAGCAGGTGTTCACATTTAGCTTTCCTTCCCTGGGCCTGAGCAGGGGGATTTGATTCTCAATCTCGTGTGTGGCTGCAGGAATTCAGCTGAAGAAGGTGCAGGAGCAGCGGGAGCAGGAGGCCAAGCGGGAGCCCATTGGGGACGACGTGGCCACCATCCTGTCCAGACGCATTGCCGTGGAGTACAGCGACTCCGACGACGACTCGGAGTTTGACGAGAACGACTGGTCCGACTGAGGCCGAGCAGGCGGCCGCAGGTTGCAAGTGTCAGGAGGGTTGTACGTGGGCTCAGCACCCCAGTAGTGGTGTGATAATCCTGTAGCTTAGCACCTTTTGTATTCACAATGTGGTATTGCTTCTGCACATCCAACAATTCCAGGTTTTTTCAGTATTTACTGTGTAATACTTAAGTGCCACTACACATAGCAAATCTTGCTGCACACGAGGAAATACGCTGTAACTATTGCATTGTCCTCAAAACAGCACCTTGCTTCCCCTCGGCCGTGAAAGTATTTAGTGCAGTTTGGGTTTACTCTCTATCGATCCTTACAGTTCTGCAGACTTGCTGTGTGTTTGTGAAACTGCCTGGCTTTGGGTCTTGGCAAGATTAATGACTGTGTGTCAGTGTGATGTCTTCCAATCAGTAAGTGATATTGTTTTCCATCCAGGGATTTTTTTTCCCTTTCTTTGTAAAAATGTGTTTCCAAAGTTGGTTCTGCAGGGAAGGGTTTAGCAACACAGAAGAACCAAATATTTCTGCCTCCAGTTTCTCTGCTTGGCGGCCCCTGACTGAATTTGAATGCTCCATTGAGTACTCTCATTGCCTTTGCACACGCTTGTCAGACGTGGAATCGGAAGGGCCCTCTCGGGGCAGGCCCCCCGGCATTTGCCTGGTCAGTGCTTGTTGATGATCTTTGTGCAAGGATTCAGCAGCTCCGTCAGGGTAAAGGATCTGGGTGCTTTCTCCTTCGAGGGGCCTGTCAGGATGCCAGTCAGAACACTGGCCAGCCCTCACAGTCCAGGAGCCCGCTGGCTGGGACAGCTGCGAGTGTGCAGGAGCTGCCCAGTGCGGCCCAGGGTGCAGCGCCCCTCCTGCCCCCTTTCCGGGTTAGCTGTGACCTAAGTGTGGTGGCCAGGGTTCGTGGCTCCTCCTCCACGCACAAAGAGAGGGCGTCAGATGGCACCTCGCTCCACTGTCTGGATCTGCAAAGCTCAGGTCTGGGTGAAAGGAGATGCTAACAGCTATTTCTTCACTTCTCTCGGTGCTGTGGCCAGATTAGGGATCAGTCCCATGAGCAGGGCATTCGCCCCACCCTAGAAGCACGTAGTTCTCTCGTCTCACACTCGTGGTGTCCGATTTTAAGTCACCCCTCACTAGATCACCATGCTTAGACCTTGGCCGAGGCGCAGTCCTTGGCTTCCACCTCTGCCCTCCCCGTATGCCTAATCCTAGAGATGGGGCTCACTTTCCTGGCTAAGGTAGGCTGTTGGGGAGCTCAAGAACAAAAGAACAGGAGCTTGTATTCTGTGATTCTGGGAGAAGGATAACTACTTGCTTAGAATCAGCGAGTGCCCCAGGCATTGGCTATAGATTGGCCTTCGCAGATATGCTAAGATACCAGACTCACTGAGGAAATCTCGCGTCCCAGAATCAATCAGGTGGTGGTGATTAGAGAAGCCCCATGATGAGGAAGGGAGCAACCTTGGGCTAGAAACAGAGCTGCGGCATGGATGGTAGGAATGGAGATAGGGCAGTGATCCGTGGACTGTGGTCCGTGGGTTCTGAGAAGCCCATCAGCTGTGTGCTCACAGCTGTGTGTCTGTGAGTGACAGCTGTCTGGCTGGTGGTGGCCACCGTGTGAGGATGGATCTTGGAGCTCTGAGAAACCGCGTGTCCTCATCGCTCTCGCAAGGCCAGCCTCCCCTCAGGTGCGTCCAGGTCTGCCCGGTGGAATCAGCTGTCTGTCACTGGCTTCCTGAGCCGCTCTTCTCCAGGAGGGCCACCATTTGGCGGCCACTGGGATTTTCTTGAATATAAGTAATAGCTGTAAGTTTCTTAATTTCCTTTTTTTTCTTTTCAGTGGGGGGGAGGGTGCAGATGTAGAGGCCTATTGGGTTGGCATTATTCTTGGGACTCTGACCATTTTTAAAGTCTTATTTTGTCTTTGTTGTAATAGTTCACGTTTTTAGCCATGTTTGCGATGAGAGTTCCCTGCATAGTTCTGGAACTTATAATTTCTAATACTTTTTCATTTTGTTTGGCCCTTCTGGAGAGAGCACTGTCCATGTGAGGATTTCTCCTATTCATATCCTGTTACAATAAAATTAGTGGCACTTTATCCAGGATAGTCCTGAGCCTATTCACTATTAGTGTCTCAGTTGTAGTTTAATCACCAAGTTATTTTCAACTTGATTTTAGGACTAGTGGAAAAGTTTTTGCCCTGTTGTATTCTATAAATTTTAAAAGAATGGGAAAATGACTAACATCCAGATTTGTTTTTTTTAGAGTATTTTTTAGCAAACCTGATTTATTTTAAAATTAAAATCCAGACTTTCTATTAAGGTGTTGCATGAAAGAAAAAAGTTAAGATTTTGAGTTTTCAAGTCTTCATTTTCAAAAAACTATTTACCAAAACAAGTGGAGAACATTTAAAAGCACACTTCATTTCTATAAATTTTGCATTTTAAATTATAGTGTAAACTGTAAGGTTGTTTTAAATTATCTGCAGTTTTATTTCTCCGTGTGCATTTTAGTTGCATTTCCCATAAGTTTCCCTGATAGCATAGATTGGGCAAAGAGGATGCAGCAGTGGCCCACATGGTACCACGTAGTACCACACAGCTATGTGGTTGAGCAGAAGACAAGTGTTTTGCCTTGTTAGCCCCAAACCATAAGATTTTGCACCCTTATGTTTTTCTTCACTAAGGATACTATTATAAAATTAACATTTTCATTTCAGTAAATTTTTAGAACACCAAAATATTTTCTGAGCACCAAGTGGCTAGGTTGTTAAAGTTTTGTTAATAATTTGCAACTGAAATACATGATACATTTTAATCCATTAAAGACTAGTGGGACTGTATCAGCCAGAGTAGCAGTAATTTTCGTTTTATAAATCAAGAGTATCTGTCATTGCAGTATTACCAATGCTGATGTAAATGGAATTTAAAGTGGTATTAAAAGAGAAATTCCTGTTAAACAATTTTTATCTGTTTGTATATCTTACTATAGATTATGTACAAGTAACATCTAAATAAAATTACACTTTTAACCCTAAAAGGTTTTGCTGATTTACAGCGGTGTGCGTTTGACCCCTTCGCGGGAGGAGCCCACACTGAGACGTGAGAGCCGCTGGAGCAGCGCTCTGGTGGTCAGACGGGAGAAGCCCGAAGGCTGCGCGTCCCCGCCTTCGAGGCTCCGCCTCGGCAGTGACAGACCAGAGCCTTTGTTATTTTCATGAAGTCCTTAGAATAATTCTTAAATGGGTATTCTGTTTCATATGGGAGAACACTTCAGTGATGCAATTACTCACCCAGGAACCTTGCTAGACCTGGACCCGGGGCAGAATTGACGTGGGGCGCGGTGGAAGTGGGCCCTGGGCAGGGGTGTGGCTGCCTGGGGAAGCCGGCCCGGAGTGCAGGTGCCTGGACAGTGGCTGTGGCGGCGCTGGGTGCATGTGCAGGGCGCCCTCCGGCATGGCTTCGTCACGCAATCAGCCGATACCCCATTCTTCCTGTAGCTTCCACCTAGGCCGTGTGTTTTGTAGTCACTGCCCAGTGGGTGCCAGTCTACCCAGAAGCAAGCAGCCGCTCATTGACTGGTAAGCTGAATGGATGGATTTCGAAGTTGTGCGTTTAACAAATGGTAAATTACATGCAACTTTTAAATGCATGCCGAGTTCTACCAGGTACCTCATCCATGTTTCCTCCGTATCAGCGCTTGTCAGGGCGTGTGGGGCACTCTCTCTCTTTGGAGGAAGTTTGCCCATCGGCCTGCGCTCAGTGAGGCGGGCTCAGGGCCTGTCATTTACTCCAGGTGTGATCCTGCCTGGGAGCCGACAGAGACTAACTGTCCCTTTATAGGGACATTTCTTCAACAGACATTGGAGGGCCCGGTATGAGCAGAATGGCACGAATATGGGTCACGTGGTCAGGAGTGCCTCGCATCGGGCTGACACTCGGGGAATGCGAGCTGTGGCTTTCCCTGCAGGTCACCAGGCCTTGCGCTCGTGGGCTGCCTGTCAGTCAGAAAAGAGACTCTCGGTGTTCTCAGCTCAGTGGCTTTGGTCGTGTGCATGTGGGAGGTGAGGCAGGGTGTGCCCATTCTAGCCTCTGGGCGAGGGAAGTTGGCATCCAAGAATGAACAAAGTTAGCCAGGGACCAAGGGACGGGGAAGGAGTTTCCATAGAGGAGCAGCAGTTTATTCCCTAAGGCGGGAAAGGGAGTGGACCGTGATAATGGAAGTCAAGGATTAGTGGGTGGGAGGATGGAGGGGAAGACGTTGCCCAGTGACTGTGGACAGGGCTCCTTTTTGAGCCAGCAAGTGTCTAGAAAAATCTCTGGGTATTTGTAGCCAATTGGTGTTGACGGTCTCCTGTCTGGAACAGCGCTAATGCTGCATTTGTGGTAAGGAAGGGGATGTTTTACTCAGATATTTGTTTCTGTTTACAGTGCATCGGTTGCTAAGCTAACTCCCTAACATTAAAGACAGGGAAAAGACCATCTCTTGTATTGCTGGGGACTCAAAGATTGATGCCTTAACTGTGAATTTTCAAACGAAGCTCTTTTTCTTCCACAGTGGGTATTCAGGAGTAGGGAAATCTCCCTCTCCCTTAACATTTGCTATGGAAAAAAAAAAAAAAAAGTGTACAAGAAAGTTGTTCAGAAAATGCGTGTATGCCTGTATCTATCCACCCACTCATTCTTTATCCACTTAAGAGTAACTTGGAATACATCTCAAGCCTGGATACTTCAGTATATATGAATATCAGGGTTCAGTGGTTTTAAGGGAAAATGTAGCGTGAAGCACATCTTTGAGCCAACCATTGGGAATTTTGCAAGTGCCTGCACTCATGAAGTACAAATCACACCCAGATGGGCAGCACCACCAGGGCCTCGGCGAGTCTCCTGCTGCCTTGCCTGGTCCGTTCTCCCTGATCCCAGCCTTCTTTTTCTCCATAAGATTGAGTGTAATCTATTCTGGGACCTCATATAACTGGAATAAAACAGTATGTGCTGTTCTGCATTAGGCTTCTTTCAGGGTAATGATTTTGAAATTCATTCCTGTCCTTGAATCTATCGACAGCTCATTCCTTGTTATCTCTGAGTGGTGTTCTGTTGTGTGAATGCCGTGGGCTTATTCCATTCTCCTGGGTAAGATTGGTGGAAGTCTTTGGACACGTGTGTTCATATATTTTGGGTTAGAGGTAAACTTGCTATTTCATAGATAGGTGTGTGCTTAGTTTTAGAAGAGTCTGCCACACTTTTCTGCAGAGGGGCTGAACACCAGCAACACTGCTTTGCATCTTTTTTTTTTTTTTTTTGACAGAGTGGACAGTGAGAGACAGAGAGAAAGGTCTGCCTTTGCCGTTGGTTCACCCTCCAATGGCTGCCGCAGCCGGCGCACCGCGCTGATCCGATGGCAGGAGCCAGGTACTTATCCTGGTCTCCCATTGCTTTGCATCTTTAGATGTGATTTTCTTTGTTTTGAATCTCCTTGTGTTGATTTTGCCTGAGACTCACTAAAATTGAGTGCACAGATAAATAACTTATATAGAGTTGGGAACATACTTGGAATTTAAAAATATTTATTTGAAAATCAGAGTTAGAGAAAGAGATCTTCCACCCACTTGTTCACTCCTTAAATGGTTGTAACTGCTGGGGCTAGGCCAGGCCAAGGCCAGGAGCCTAGAACTTCATGTGGGTCTCCCACAGGGGTGGCAGGGTCTAAGGACTTGGGCCATCTTCCACTGCTTTCCCAGCCGTATTAACAGGGAGTTGGTTCAGAAGTGGGGCAGCTGGGACTTGAACCAGCACTCATATGAAATGCTGGTGTCACAGGTGGCGCTTAACCTGCTGTGCTACAGTGCTGCTGCCCGGACGTTATTTTTTCAAATATGAGCCCCATTCTGTCTTCTAATCCTTGTACTTGATTACACACATATTAAGAATCTTTTGATGCCAGCTCTTGTCTTTGAAGCTCCTTAACTTAGCATATCTTTTTCTGTTCTGTAGACTAGATCATTTTTGTTCATCTGTCTTCAGGTTTACTGACTAATCTGTC